TGTTAAACTATAACTCCCCCTGCCCCCTCCCCCAGTTTGTCTATTTCTGGGTCAACCAGATGTTTACAGGGTAACCCTCCTAGTAGATTAACTATTTGCATATGTATGTGTACGCAGAGAATGTAAACGTTTTTATTGATATTTAATCTTCTATTGAAAAGGTTATCTTGCAACACTTGTTTTTCCCATAATGATGAACAAATACACCGTTTATTTACATTGATATAAGGGGAATAATACAGTCATCAGTGAACAAATAGAACAGTAAGAAACGACCAACCCCGCAAACAGTTTATCCAGGTTTATATCTGTAAACCAACACTTTCGTGTGATTGTTTCGGACTTTAAACAAAAACTCCAAAATTGAAAGATTCGGCAATTGGTTACATTGCCAGTGCACAACGCTCAACGTATGACAATCTATATACAGTATATACCGTAAACATATTTCCTGCACTGTCATTTGCTCATGAATAATTCAAAGCACTAAATCTAATAACAGGCTCTGCCTGCTGTGAACGGTGTTGCCGAGTTTTTCAATAATTAGTGATGGAGTTTGGTGACGAGGACTGGATTTTACTTCGGTCATACCTCGATGCTACGAGTTACTGCATTAAGTCAACTGCACGTATGCAGGTGAATGCTTCTAAATCCAAAATTATGAGATTTTGTAACACGATCAACCCTGATTGCCTTCATATATGTCATGATGTGTTTTTCCAACAATTGTTAGCGAGATTAAATATCTAGGCGTTATTCTAAATAGCCGCCTTACATATAATTGATACAGCTGTGTTAGGAACGTTGCGTCTCATAATAACATATTGTTTGGGTTTATGTTGAGAATGGCGAAATTTGTTTCAACTGACGTATTTTAAGCTTATATAAATCGCCTGTTATTCATTCCAATTTTAGAATATGACCTGCTACGTTAAATCTGTACATCTACCTGCGCATATAAGTCAGCTACGTTGTTCTGCTATTCTACTACTTCCCCGTATATGAACTTATATTCTTTTGTATTTAAACAATGTTTTTATTTCGTTTCAATAATATAAACACACAACACAAAATATTACATTACATAGTGGTATATGAAAATAATTTGCATATCATTTGTATATTTTTTTTTCATTTATCTCCACTGCAATATGTAGCCTATTTGAGTTTTTTTTCATTAAATAATATAAATAGTATGAAAGATGTGAACCATCAACCAATATTTGTTTCGCTTTTTATGCGTAAAAAACTTAACAAAACATTAGCGCTTGTGACTCAACTAATTAGCATGATTTTCTGACAGGTTTGGACCACACCCTTTCACTAGGATTACATGCATAGATCATATGGATACACAGTACATAACATTGAGGTAGCGAGAAGGGAAAACGAGAAAACATCTTTTTTTTCTCTGTTTATGTGAAATTTTTATTCATTTATTTTCATTTATCGTTGGGCAAAAAATACTCTGGGCAATTTGAGCTTATTTTCCAGAACGCAGTTGTGGATATTCCATTGTAAAATTACATAACCAGGCCAAGCGATAATGATTTGATTTCATTTAGC